TGACGGACGGCCTGAACCCTCTTCCTGGTGACGACGACCCCTGTTAGAACTCAGCCTCGCACATTTCTCCTCCGCATTGGCAGAGAGCAGCCTGCTTTGCACCAACGACAAAATGTGAGACTCAGCTAATCAGTGCGGTTTTGATGATGCCACAGCTCTGCCCCAAACCCTTGTAACCAGCAAGTTTGCCCCGAAGATTATTGACTGACTCCTCTGACCATGCATTATTTAAAGGGAAGTGCTGTGATTATAGACTCCAGCTGTTTAACCATTGGAATCCTGTCTTTTGGCCAACTTTCAAAACGCGGCAGGGCACTGTGACTAAACATTATGTCTACTAGAGAAGTCAAAGTCTGGGTTAGGTGTGGCCAATCTTTAGTCTACACGTTAGGAAAACACTGAAGCAAAACTACTCACAAAATAACGATACAAAAATATACATTTGCAGTGTTAAGACTGTCCCCAAGAGAAACATCGGTGGAATGTTACGCAGACCCTACACAGCCAGCACCACGGAACTGCCAGACCGCTCTCCCTGCAGAAGGGACTGTCCCGCTCACCTGTCCTCTGTCGCTGCATTGCAGAAGGGCAATTTAAAAAAATGTTTAGAGCATCTTGGGAAAGCTCAAATAATAGGAAACAAGTTTGCCTCTGCTAAATTTGGAAATGTGTGAATGTCTTTCCCGGAGACAATGTAAGCGGCTTCCAGCCCTACTGAATAGTTAGTGTGCATGGGTGCTTTTATACACCTCTTTATAAAAGTTTTGGAAAAGAGGAAACTGTGGCAGTCACCGCTGTGTTCACCACAGGACCTCTGACGGGTGTGGCACGGCTTTCGCTTGACTGGACCCTGAAGTCGGAAGTGAAATACTTTGCAAACAAGTATGTTCTGCTTTCACACTTTCAAGTTCAAATCGTGCAGTGTTTCCTCTTTCTGATATTACAATTCAAGTAGTTACAGTGAGCCATCCTTTTCTCCATCCAGCTACCAATTCTGATTCCACCCCCCAGAGCAGAATTACATAACAAGGAGCTTTTTAAAGGCAAGGATGGGCCAGTTGGTTTAGTTGAAATATTAGTCAAAATGCCTGAAATGAGCTGCAATTTAGTGGTCAGTGTACTCTTTTCCTCAAAACTTGTCCTGGTGAATCGCTGCACTGCTGTTCTAATAAAATACATCGTGTTAGGCTTCTTGTTTTAATCCATCATAGCAAATATCTTTGTCCCTAAATAGCAGGAAATATCAAATTTCTCTAGGGTAGTAGTGGTTCTGGAAAGCATTTGACGATAGTGACAAAATTTTGACCTACAGTTGAGGTCTCCCAAGTGCTGAAAAGATGATAATTTTTTTTTAAATTGAAGATCTTCAATTTAGAACCAAAAATCAGGCTTATAGGACACTTCAAAGCGGAAAGGCGCTAGGTAAATACTGGTTATATTCATATATTCTGAATAGAATACAGAGGCTCCATTGTGGGCCGTATGAATAGACAAAGAAAAACAGCTCTCTAGAACTGAGGCACTTAGAGATCGCTGGTCGTCATCTTCATGGGAAAATCCAGCTCTGTATAGTCCTACTTCAATAAAACCCGGACACAGACATAAGATCAATGTCCCCTATGGAATAGTACCAAAGTCCTAAAATTCTGCTTCAAGACTCATGAGTCCGTGGGGGAAAAAAACAAAACAAAACGGAAAAAACCAACTACTGTAGAGACTGAACTGTCAAACCCTGAACTCATTTAAGAGACACAAAGTCCAGAGGCGGGATGGGGTGCCCTGCCCTCTCCTGCTGTGATAATCATCGCTGTCTGTTTTAGGGACAAATAGACCTGTGGTGAGTGTCACAGTTGTTGATTGGTCCAAGAAAGAAAAACGCGATACCTAGAAAGAAAGAAAGGCCCTGTGTTGTCTGAGGAAGGAGATCGGTGTCTCCCTCCTGTCACGGGCAGGGATCCCACAAGCAGAAGTAAGTTAGAGCTGCCGAAGATGGAAATGCTGGCCAGGTCCTACAACCCCAGAGCCTACCCCACTCCATTTTCATCTCCTGCGCCTGAATTTTGAAATCAGTTTGTTTCTGTGTTGGCCAAGTTTGAAAGTTTCTGGAACCACTCCTTCACCCCATCTCCAAATATCAAATTACTCCTCCACAATCACAAAATGAATCCCAATTACAATTGGCGGAGACCCTATGCTTCCCAGTAAGAAGCAGCAGAATCTCAGCGCAGAGGAACCTGCAGGGGACCCCAGGGAGGGTTACCATGGAAACCACCTGGCCGTCTTCCCCTTCCTCCCTACCCCAAGTGGAAAAGTCAAGTGGGTCCACTGCTTTTGACCAGGCAGCCACTTAGCAAAAAGCATGAAGAAGTCCTCCATGGATTACAAAGAAACATCAACTCATGTGTGCCTCTCCTTGAATTTATAATCCCAGGAGAAGATCATAAAAACAAAACAAAACAAACACACACACACAGGGTTTACATTGCTCAGGGGACCTGAGAAGTCCTGGCTCGCCAGGACCTGGCCAAGGAGTCCGCTTCTTCACTAGTCCTTCCTCCCCGAGTGGGAGGGAGCACTGCTGAGGCTCGGCTGCGGCCAGCTGCCTGCTCCCTCCCAAAGCCCATGACCAGGAGGGGCCCAAGGTACCTGCTGCAAAAGAGCACAACAAACACTGCCCGGAGACCACAAATGAACCCCTCCAGCTGCCCCCAGAATGACAATAAACCTGCTTCGTGGAGGAAGCGGCCACCGGGCTCCCGTGCCAAGCATCAGGAAAGCATTTGCGATCTCAGTGGATGCCATGGACAGCTGGCCCTTCCAGCAGTGAGGCAGCCAGACGGGCTTGGTAGCGGGCCATGTCCATGGGGCTTGATCTCCCCTACCAAGGAAGTGCGAGGATTCTGACTTTCAAAACCCTATCCTTAAATAGGGGGTCAGTATTACGCAAAAGTAAGAGGTTTTATTTACAATGCAGTACTCGCTCTGGTGGAGAATTAAGATGGAGAATAGGCTGGGTCATTTACGGGATTTTTTTATTGGCCCATGCTTGCAGTACACGATGATTGCGGGCCTTGGGTGGAGCCAGTGCATGGATACCACACATCTTAGCTCTTCTTCTCCTCCCCTTCCCTGTCTCTCCCCTTCTCCACTCCTTGGTCCCCTTTCCTCTTGAGAAACATCTATCTCTCTGCTTCCTATTATCTGTATTTTACTTTGCTCTTTATTTATAATTTGAGTTTCTCAGAGAAAAGAAACCATATGACTTTTAAACCATGTGTCTGCTTTACTGCACCTGACGTTACGGTCTCAACACGTGCCGATTTTCCTACTCAGGACTTAAGTTTATCTTGATGCCAGAGTAATACTCCGTTGTGTATAAATTCACATTGTCTAACATCAGTTCACTTGTTGTTGATCTGAGGTTGTTTCCAAGGCCCAGATGCTTATTACGAATTGTGCTGCTATAAACAGGGGTAGGTGGGGCCACTGTGGTATGATGTCTCTGACTATTTCAGGAAGACATCTAGAAGGGGAATTTGTAATTTTCGTTTTCTGAGAAATCTCCATGCTGATCTTATTTAGATTCAGTGGGTCAGTAGTTCTCAAGTTTTCTCCTATGAATCCTGGGGATCAGGAGAGGAAACCCGGGTACCTCAGTTCCTGAGAGGTGAGGAGGTTGAGAAAGGCCAAGGTCCCATGTCACTTCCCCACTTGATGGCTGGTCTGTCTGACAAACTGGCGCATGGGCGAGATCTGACCTAAAAACAGACCCACTGTGCCCACAAGCTTACAAACAACTCAGGTCCACGTTCAGTTCCCTGCAAGCCTGTTCTACAGTTGCTTTTAATTCTAAAGGCAGGAGAACTATGCTCTAACCAAAAAGAAAGAAAACTAAACCAGAGCTACTTGCCAAGGAAAGAGGTTCAATTAATGTGCAAATATCAAAAGGAATTTGATCATGGTGTTCTTTCTGGGCAATCAGGATCACATGAAGGATGGACATTTAGTTCATTTCTTATTCCACAAGGAAACAGAGCTGTTTGTTCTGGGCTCTCCAGGGTGATGAGAGAGGAGGTCCTATTCCAATGGTGTCCTCATCTGTTCTAAGTTCACATCTTTTGTGTGAAGTCAGCACTAACGCAGCCTCTTCATGGGTCCTCTGGGACCCCCAGAAAGGGGACTCAGAGGAAGCAACCCACTATTTACTAGGGACCTACTGTGTGCTAGGCACTGTCCGCACAGTATTCCACTTTACCTTCTATTGAGACGGGCAAGGCATTGCTAACCCCACTATACCAAGGGATAAACCGAGCCCTGGAGAACTTGGCTACAGTCGTGCAACAGGTCTCCCAGGCTCTGCAGATCCGAGTTAGAATCGTGGCCTCACCACTTACAATATGAATCACCTCGAGCAAGTCATCCCTAACTGCGAGCCTCAGTTTTCACACTGATAAAAGGAGGGGCCTTTTCCAGAGCTAAAACTGTCAGAATTCACAGTGGAAGCGAGGAAGGAAGAGAGCAAACAGCTGAGCCGTCCTGCATATAACAGCTATGTGTGTTTCCCAGCACCATTTATAGAAAAGTGTTCTTTCCCACCTAAATATTCTGAGATGATCAGTAACATACCCATGTGCCAGGCTATCACAGTGGACCCTATAAGTAGGTATGATTATGATCTTTCCATTTTTTTAAATAAATAAGATGAAGGAAATTGAAGACATTCCTGTCTTTTAACAAGTATTCTTGGTGGCATCTCAACTAAGCCAATATATATATATATATATATATATATATATATATATATATATATTTTAAAGGCTGATTGGGCATTGACAGTGCTGGACTGCAGTTTGCTGAGAACCTGGAGAAAAAAGAGGGCGGGCTGCCCCAAGATGTGTACGCAGCGGCTGTGTGCAGAGGAGGGGATCGTGGCTGAGTGACAGATGGTGGGGACCCCAGGATGCTCCCTAACGCCAGGCCTCTCTGTGTTTGATTTGCAGACAAGCCCACGGGGTACGGCTCCAGCAGTCGGAGGGCACCACAGACCGGCATCGTGGACGAGTGCTGTTTCCGGAGCTGCGACCTGCGGAGGCTGGAGATGTACTGCGCGCCGCTCAAGCCCGCCAAGTCGGCCCGCTCCGTCCGCGCCCAGCGCCACACTGACATGCCCAAGACGCAGAAGGTAAGTCCAGAGAGGGTGCAGGCAGCAGGTGACTCTTCACATATGAACGGCCAAGTAGACATGCTGCCCCACATGTTCCTGGCAGACAAGTCTAAAGTTTTCCCTTCCCAATAATAGGATACAATATCTATTCATCCAGCCACCCACCCATCCATCCCCCCATCCATCCATCCACCCACCTGTCCATCCATCCATCCACTCATCCATCCACTCACATATCCACCCACCCATCCATCCATCCACCCATTCACCCACCCACCTATCTATCCATCCATTCACCCATCCATCCATCTACCCATCCACCCACCCACCTATCCATCCATCTACCCCCATCCACCCATCCATTCATCTGCCCACCCATCCATCTACCCATCCACCTACCCATCCATCCATCCATCCACCCATCCATCCATCCATCCACCCATCCATCCATCCATTCACCCATCCATCCATCCACCCATCCACCCACCCACCTATTCATCCATCCACCCTCATGCACTCATCCATTCATCTGCCCACCCATCCACCTACCCATCCATCCATCCACCCATCCATCCATCCACCCATCCATCCATCCACCCATCCATCCATTCACCCATCCACCCACCCACCTATCCATCCATCCACTCCCATCCACTCATCCATTCATCTGCCCACCCATCCATTCACCCATCCATCCATCCACCCATCCACCCACCCACCTATCCATCCATCCACCCTCATCCATTCATCCATTCATCTGCCCACCCATCCATCCACCCATCCACCTACCCATCCATCCACCCACCCATCCATCCATTCACCCATCCACCCACCCACCTATCCATCCATCCACCCCCATCCACTCATCCATTCATCTGCCCACCCATCCATCCACCCATCCATCCATTCATCCATCCATCCACCCATCTACCCATCTACCCATCCATTCAGCACTGAGTATGTAAAACCTCCCTTCCACCGCCCTGGCTGATCTAATCACTAGAGGATGGCAATAAACAAGGACTAGCATGGACTTGGCTGCAGATGCCCCTGTAGTCCCTGCTGAGGCCTCTTGGCAAATAACGTAACTTATCCGAGCCTCCACTTCCTCAGTAAAACTGGGATAATGATAGTATCTGCCACAACAGATTGTTCTCAAAGCTGAGTGAATGAACTCATATACTTCAAGGTGCTTTCCACATGTCTGCACAAACTAGCTGCTGGGCCAGTTTCACATCTGTCACAGTCAGAGTGGATAACAACACTCGTGAGCCCTAGATTCTGCAACGGAGCACAGAGGAAAACACTTTCATAGCAACCCTTTGAAACTGGTTATAGAAAAGGCGTTAAAAATAGACATTTCTGTTTGGTTTTCAGAATTCCTAGAAATTGCTAGCGATCGAGGCCTGCAGGCATCTTCCCCTAGAGCTTCCCTCTGTGCAGGGAGAAGGGCACTGAGTCCCCAAGGCACAGTTGTCACTGCTGAGACTTTCTTTGAATTAGCGAATGAACAGACCATTGAAGTTGCCTAAGTAAAATTTTAGAATCGATGAGAACCAACGAGAAAGGGGAAGAAGGCGAAGAGGAAGGGGGGAAAATGGGAAAGCAAACAAAGAGGGCTCCTCCGGGTCTCCGAGGATGCTGCTGAAAATCTTAAAAGTGACCATGTGGCTTACTCGTTACTAATGAAGGTAATATTGTCCAGAAAGCCCAGTTACAGTGACCTCCTTGCTGCTTCCTTGTCCAAAACTACAGCTGAGGCTAAAGGAGGATCATGGTGGCTTAGGAAAGAGGTCACCATACGCCAGGGGACCAGCCCAGGGGACCCAAGGTCCTGGTGCGTAGAGAACACAGAAGTGACCCTGGAGTTGGGAACAAAGGCCCCCGAAGAGACATGCAGGTGAATGAGGCAGAAGGTGCCCTCTGCAAGTGGCCCAGTGCCTTGCCATTTCTAATTGCATAAGTAGTAGATGTCAAAGAGAGTTTCCAGGTTCCAGGATGAGGTCTTGTGGCCAAGGCATGGATCCTGCTCCAGGGCCTGTGCTGGCTTCCTGCGTCAGCACACGTGGGGTTGACCCAAGGCTGTCTCCGAGGACACCACGGCAGTCCCTATTCTCAGCACAATTGTTGTTGTGGTGTTTGCAATGTCAGCCCCCAGCAGAGTGTAGGAGGAGAAGACGATGAGGGCAACAGAAACTTCCGAAGGGAAGGGAAGGAAGGGCGGAATAGACCGCAGGTCAGGGAAGAGAAGCTGAGCAGAAAGGGAGACATAGCCAGAAACTGTGACCCCAGAGGTGACGGCCAAGCTCGGAAATCCACCTGCTGGGGGCGGGGGGGGGCGTTATAGAAGGCACCTAAGAAAAACGGAAAAGACGGGGTTGGGTGGGGGTAATACCCAAGAGAGTGCAAAGAGACGGGTGAGAAAGAAAACGAGAAAATGTAATTACAAAAGAGGCAAACAAGACTCACCCTCTCCCCTGCCAAAAATAAACAGATGAATAAAAGTAAAAGAAGCCAAATCAAAACCAAGGCTCTGCCATGCATTTTCCAATTTTGCCCACGTCAATATATGTCCAGAGTTAAACATTAGCCCCGAATTCTCAGCAAGGCTGAATTGTGTCATACAAGTTCCCAGATTGCCTTTCCTGCAATGCCACTGGAGTCTGTAGTTTTTAGTTAAGTCCAGGGCTTAGGTCAAAGAGCACTGGATATTTACTTAAAGGCCCGTGAGGTGGCCTTTGAGGGGTTCCTGAACTCGGTTTTTTCACTTTGGAATCAGATGCAAAAGTTGTATTAGTTTGTGAAGACAGTCATCACAAAGGACCACAGGCTGGTGGCTTAAACTACAGGTCTTTCCTTTCCTCTCAGCGAGGCTGTGAGGCCACGCTTGGGTGCCAGCTCTCCCAAGGGCCTTGGGGAGTGATCTGTCCTGGGCCCAGGTTGCTCTTCTTGACTTAATAGATGGCTTCTTCCTGGGTTTTCCACCGTCTTCCTCTGTGTCTGTGTAAATATGTTCTCTGTTTAGGACACTATCAGACTAGAGAAGGGCCCACCTTAGCGACCCCTTTTTAACTGGTCATCTCTATAAGGATCCTATGTCCAGATGCAGTTGTATTTTGAGGTACTGGGGCTGAACACTTTAGTGTATGAACTTGGGTGAAGGGGGACGCAACTCATTTCAAAATGAAGACTTCAGACATCCAACTACCGCATCGGGATCGCATGTGCTAGAGGTTCTGTCTCTCCCACTCCTGTCACCAATCCCCTGCACATGACTCGCATACATGTCTAGGTTTTTAGATCCAAAATACTGTGCATTTCTCCTGCAAATCACACCAGGACTGTGTCACTGTAGGGCTGCCAAGAGCCCTCCAACCCCCTCATTCTCAAGACCAGGACTCCGGGATCTGGACGTAAGGACGGGCTTGGGTTCTAGGTTCTTTTCTTCGGACCAGCAGACAAACAACACACAGTGAAAGTTAGTCAACTAAGAAAGAGCTTCAAAAGGAAAAAGGAGGCAGAAACAGATGCATGAACCCTGCCACCCATTAAATATGAGGACAAGAACGCTGGCCCTTCCTATGGTGGCCACGTAGCCACGTGGAAGTAGACGGCAGCGGTCTCCTTCGCTTCCCTTGACTGCAGCAACAGAACAAGGTCTTCCCAGACTAAAAAGCAGGAAGGCTTGACTTTGGATTGGGAATCAGACCTGCTAAGAGACAACACGTCACGGAAGCACACCGAAGAGCAAAGGGTGACTTTAGCGGGTGAGAAAACAACACTCGCCAGGGAAACTTTCCATCCAGGTAGCCCACTTTAAATCAGTCATGAGAGGAAGGAGGGAATGTCCTCGCTGCCTGGGCCTCGTGTGCTTGTCAGGCTTTCTACCGCAGGGACCCCTCCTGCTGTGGCTCACTGAAAACCGGGATCCCTTCAATATAACAAAGAAGGCCGAGGCGCAGTCTGTGAAGAAAGGAGCCGATCAGAAGCACACTGAAGCTCCAGATGGAGCTAAGCCTCAGCTGCGATGGTCACTGAGTAGACGCCGGTGGAAGGGGCCAGACAAAAGCCACCTGATGAGCTCACTTCTTCGGGAAGTGCTGGTTCGCTTGCTAAGAGAGCATGCTCTGCACTGGCCCCAGGCACAGGCCAGCACACTGCATGTGAGAAGAACCCACAAATATACACAGCTCTTCAAGGGACACTGACTGCAGCAGGAGAATCCAGTTTACATCCTGTGGAAAGGTTTAGGTAAACCATAATCATACCCAGTCACAAACTTTATTCTGGAAGAACTTTTAAGAATAGAACTTTCTAGTGAAAGAAAGTTCCCATAGCCCCAGAGTATGCATTGAAATATGTTTGCTTATGGAATGGGTTTTATCAACGCTAAAGCAATCCTTTGAATTACTTTGAATCCTTGAATATACACATGTGATTACCATGTAGTAGGAAAATAGAATCTCCAATTGTCTTTTCATCTCCTTTTTAGTATCAGTACCAGAGGATTAGTGATGCATGGCATGTAATAGTGCATAGATGGGTGGATGAATGGATAGATGAAAGATGCATAGATGAGTGAATGCATGCATGGGTGGGTGCATGGGTGGGTGGATGGATGGATGGGTGGATGGATGGATGGATGGATGGATGCATGGGTGGATGGATGGATGGATGGATGGATGGATGGATAGATGGATGGATGGATGGGTGCATGGCTGGCTGGCTGGCTGGCTGGATGGATGGATGGGTGGATGGATGGATGGGTGGATGGATAGATGGATGGATGGATGGATGGATAGGTGGAGGGGAGAATAGATGGATGGATGATGAGTGGATGGATGGGTACATGAATGGATGGATGGGAGGATGGATGGATGGAAGGATGAGTGGATGGATAGATAAGTGAATGGGTGTACAAATGAGTCATACAGGCAGATGAACCATGGTAGAAAGGCATATCATGTAAATAAGTTGCAGTACTGAGTAAAAATATCTTCTTTCATCCTACATCGGTC